AAATGCATAGTTTAGGAGGGAGGAGGTTCTAGAATATGCTTACCAGAGATTCCCAAAGTTGATATCTCAGTTGTAACATGATCAAGTTCGAGAGCTTTGCGACCTTCAGCACAGAGCGTTTCACAAATCTAAAGTTTTCACTAATTGGACATTCATTCATTCACCTTTTCAGAATTCCAAAACAAAAGTAAGGAGACCTGTGCGATGGTAAAAATATTCCTGGACACTCCAATGCAACCTCCATAGAAGAATTGCCGACATAGTCGTGTTTCGTTGTCGTAATAGTACCTAGGATACATTGGGCTTAAGAGTCAAGCATAACTTTTCGTGACACTCCTTCTCTCCTCTCCCTTAGAATGTAATGCCTCTCAAATAGAAGAAACCAGCTTATCAGTAGTTTTTCCTCTCCTCTTCCCCTCTTTACTAGGGTTTCTGCGAGGTTAGATGGTCTAATTTTGCAAAATAAAGTGAACTCAATGCCTACGCAAATACAGAATAAGAAGCAAAAATTTCATTTTTGCGAATATAGCAAATAATTTGAGCATCAAAAATTCCCCCTAATCAAACCTTACCTTAGCTCCTGTTCACCATGGTTGCAGTCCTCTTCAGTGTACCTAACGTCGAAAGGGTCGTTGCAAGAGTCTGAAAAAGTAGTATCACACCTTTCAGGATATATAAATGCAGTTTTGCACAGCAGTTAGACATTGAAGCAGATAACTATAAAGTAGTCAATGCAGTTAAGAGCAAAATCCTATCCTTTTTGCAAGTATGGACCAACAACTCAAGTTAATTTTTTAGGTTTTTCTAGCAAAGTGCAGCTCGGGCAGCTGGTAACGTTTTAGGTACTGTTCTACTGTAACGTTATACAAAGTCTAAACCACACCTTTTTTGACTAGACATTGGCCGTCGGCGCTAAATCCCGCCGGACAATCACATCGGAAGGAGCCCAAGGTGTTTACGCAATGAGAGTTGGGAGGACAGGCGTTAGGCTGGTCGCATTCATTCACATCTAAATAAGAGAACTGTTTGACTGTAGCAGTTTGACTTCTTGTAGCATAAATATACTACTTTAGCCATTGGAAAATCAGTAAAAGTTATGTTATTGCGGGATGAGGACAGTGCAAAATTTTCTTTGTGCATATAATGGTTTGTATGTGTCTCTTTTAATACTCTAAATATATATACATAGTAGGCTGAAGGTAAGGAGTGTAATGTTCGCACGGCACTGCTGAATGGCTCGTGCACCCCTATGTTACAAAAAAACGTTGCTAACCTGTTATTGTCTAGGTACACATAAAGAATAGCCAGCTTCAAAAGTATTTTTCCAAACTTCGCTCACCTATGCAAATTTTCCCAAGTTTTCGAAATCCAGCAATACAGCCAC